TCAAGTCGTTGAATTCAAACACGGACAGGGATATTTGGTTTTGCTCTACTTGTATTTATTCATGTGTGGTGTTGAGTTTGTGTTTCTATTTCTCAGAGTGAACAGAATATTTTTCCTGCTATCGCAGCGGGCTAGTGTACAGTACCCATATTTTGGTCTTATTTTCAGATTAATTGTCGGTATTATTTGATTATACTATTCAACTAGTCCAGGCACACCGCGATGCCTATTCCTTCAGACTGGCTCTTTGTCTTGGCGACTGTGTGATGCACCATTCGTAGTAACAAGACAGCCCATCATCCACACCACATTCGAGCTCACTATTAGCAATCGCTGTGAGCAGAGCTGGATATACCTGCAGCGACAAGCAAAAAAAATGTATCGCTTTGATTCCAACAAGCGCTGTCCTGCAACATACATCTCAGAATGACATAAGCACAATACCGCTGAGCCCTGATCTACACATCCCTAACCCTTCTCCTACCTATTCGAGTATAGCCAATGCTTCAAGCCACCCATGACATACCCTTTTACCCCAACTCCTTCTGAAGCACCGCCATCCTCGCAACAAACCCCTGCGCTGAAAGAGCGCCACACCTCACTCTGGACCGCAGGGAAGGACCCGGAAACGGCAAATTCGCATGCCGAAACCTTATCCCGTTGGAATACAGTCATAACTTACTACTAATACGGACATCTTGGCTTCCCGAAATAATGACGGCTTTCGCATCCCTACAATCGCCATCAATGGTGGATGAATAGATAGAAGTAAAAATATTGATTTCGTGAACATCTCATCCAACTCCATGGATAAGCAGGGCCATTGAACCTGGACTCCCTAGTCTATCGTGCGTGTATGTTTCATATACGTCTATTAATTAGGTAACAAGCAAGCATTCGGAAGCAAACTCTAAGCTTAGGCTTCGGCCTTGACCGGCACGCTCTCCTTGATGGCGAGCTTCTCAACACCTTCAGCCAACTCAGTGCCGTTTGCATCTGCAGCCACGGTAGGCGCTGCTGTATCTTTCGAGCCGGCTGCTTCCGCCGGTTCGGTCGCTACTGGTACTTCGGCCTTTCCAGAGTTGAGGCTCGGCTCGTCTCCACCCCACAAGTAGATTTCGCTCTCTCCAACCATCTTACCAGCCTTTTCCCACCGTTCTTTCCTTTGTTGTCTCCTCTCAGTGACAATCTTGTCAAGAGCAGGCCAGTATACAGAGTGGTCGTATTTGAAGTCCACATCTCCGCCAGAAACCTTCATGAGCTGAGAAGTGGGAACGTGGCTTGGAAGAGGCTCGTTCGTCTTCATCTTCGATTTGGTGACGGGATCGATAAAGGGTTGGATAAGCTTCAGGAATGTAGTGACAAACCAGGGGACTAGAGCAGGTTCAGTAAGTACGAGTCAAAATATGGCAAAGGTAGCACTTACCATTTGTGAGGAGTGCCCTGCCAAGTCGCTCGGGGTAGTGGTTTTGCAAGATGTAAAGGACCTGCTTTACTGTGGCCAGGCTAGGGATTCCTCCAGATGCGGTGTTCTTAAAGTCAATCAACAGTGCTAGACCCTCCTGACCTGGCGGATGAATGTCAATGGTGCGCTCCAGCATGTATACCAAGTGCTCGACCTGCTTGGGGGATTCCTTGGTATTCTGGTTCTGGGGCAGTAGGTAGAGGCACGGCCTTCCCTCCTTGTCAAATCCCAGCAAGACTTGCTTTCCAGTAGCATTTTCCTCAGAGATGTAATCCGAGGTGAAGGTGTCGGTGCCGTACTCACGCCGCCATGTCAGCGAAGAGCGTAGGCGTTCTGCAGCTTGTGGGACATTCCACTTTACAGCACGGAGGTATCGGAGAAGACATTCGCGGGTGAGCCACATTCGCTCATCGTCGGTGATGGGAGCGGTTTCGGTAGTTTTTGCCAAAGTCGTGGGCAACGAGTCCCAGGTGCGAACATCGGCAAGGAGCTGGTCGTATTTGGTCTGCTGGTCGGCGGTCAAGGCCGGAGCAGCGGGTGGCTTGCAACCCTCAGCGGGTTTTGCGAATGGACCCATTGCTGACATGTTGAGAGATTTAGGACACAAATTCAGAGAGTAGAAGTCTATAGAATTATTAGTGAATTGAGAAGGAAAGGAGAGAAACAACAGTCGGGTTGTTGAGGATAGGGTCAGCGCTGGTATACTTTCGGGAAACATAGTGGACCCTTGCATACTGATCCCCGGTACTAGACCACGTCCATCCTAGCCCACATCTGTCGCGTCTACTACGCGTCTTCCCTATTTCCACGCGCAAAGTGCTTTCGCATCCAGCACCCCATACTATCCACAATCCGCATTACAATGGACGACGTAGCGACAGAACTCACCGAGCGCTTTGAGCGCTACTGCGACACCAAGGACGATGAATTCCCTACCGATGTTCTCGCCGAATTGCAGTCCATGTGCCGGTTATACTCCATCTCGCCCGAAGAATTGGACTTCAAATGGCAGGCATACAACATGAAAATGGGGGGAGAAGAAAACAAAATGGACGTCAAGACGGCACAAGACTTTAAGAAGACTATACAAGATGCATTGGAGCGAGAAAGCAGAGGCAAGGCACAGCAAAGAAACGAAGTCAAGCGGGGTCAGCCAACACCAAGAGCAAAGGGTGGGGATATGTACGACATGTATGTTTGGTGACGGCAAGGTTACAACTCGGGATATGCTGACAGAAAAAAAAAGGCTAGAGGGACTTGTTCCCAACACACCACGCCCAAGTGCTCCTAGCGGGGTTAACGGAAGCACTGTCAAGCGCAAAGCCAACTTCCAAACACCGGGAAGTAAAGCGAATAAGGCACATGAAATGAGCTCACCGGGAGGCTTCCTGACACCAAAGGCCGAGACTTCGGGCGGACCGTAGGCATTCAAGCAGTACTGCAGAAGCACCCTCTAACCATCACTCAGTGTCTTTGACTTCGCCTCTCGTACCAACGCAAACGATATCACAGAACAGTTCATGCAGGGAGATATTGCTATCCCAGAACCACCCTCGGAAGAGCCCAAGGAACCCCGCATCAAACTCAAGGCCAACACAGACATGTCCAAGTTCTCGTACCGGACCATGGCAATGAAGCTTTCCGAAGCATCAGAAGTATTGGACGACAGGATTGACGAGTTCCGTGATATCCTCCGAGAATCTGCAGGTCTCGACGAGAGCGCATTCGGCAATCCCAACTACGCATCGCCGAGCGAAATTATTGCTGTGGGAAGGATAGCGTGCGATACGAGCGAAGGCAAGCTCAACACAGCATCACTTGTGCTTGAAGGCTCGCGGCGGCATGGCTCGGGGCGTCGCGTACCGCTCAACGTCGAGGGACTTCAGTCGTACAACTTCTTTCCCGGTCAAATTGTTGCGCTGCGCGGTACGAACGCATCTGGCGACTCTTTCGTAGTCTCCGAGGTCCTTTCACTGCCACTTCTGAACCCACCTGCTACAAAGCCAGACGAGCTTGACGCCATCAATGCACGATACCTTGACACGCCCGACTCTGACCCAGACAATGTCCGGCCTTTGACTCTGATGGTTGCATCTGGACCCTACACAACCGAGCAAAACCTTGATTTTGCACCTCTACATGCTTTTCTAGATAAGGCTGCAGAAGCGTATGCGGACTCCATCATCCTGATTGGTCCCTTTCTCGATGCAGAGCATCCTCAAGTTCGGTCGGGAGATTTCGATGCCCCACCAGGCGTGAGTCCAGATCAGGCGACTATGACTGATCTATTCCGCCACCACATCTCGAGTGCCATTCAAAGCTTCAACAAACGCGTACCGACATGTAATGTTTTGTTGGTACCCAGCCTGCGGGACGCACACCATCACCATGCTGCTTTCCCACAGGACAAGTTTATCAAAAAGGAGCTTGGCTTTGGCGCAGCAGGGAAGATGGTGCAGTGTGTCACGAACCCCATGACTGTCAGCATGAATGAGATGACAGTGGGCATGTCTTCGCTTGACAACCTAGACATGCTACGAAGAGAAGAGCTTGCAGGTGGCAAAGCGCGCGCAACAAACATTTATGAACGGTGTGCTCGCAACTTGATTGAGCAACGGAGTTTCCTGCCTCTGTTTCCACCTACTGGGAGAGAGAAGCAGCAATTTATGCCTACGCCAATTGAGGAAAAGGTGATGAAGAACAACACTGCCAATGGTGAAGGGAAAGAAGGAGAAGAGGCAGTTGCAGAGGAAACGCCCAGTCCGTTCCTCCCGGTTGGTACAATGCTAGACACTAGTTATCTCAAACTGGGCGAGATGCTCAACGTACGGCCCGACATACTGATCACACCCAGTGTGCTCCAGGGCACCGTCAAGGTATGTGTACCTGATGGATGTATGGCGATGCAAAGTGCTGACAAAGTAATAGGTCGTCGAGTCTGTGTTGATAGTCAATCCTGGCACATTGGCCAAACGGCGGGCAGCTGGAACGTATGCACGGGTGATTGTCCAGCCTGCTGTGGTCGGCGATACGGACCGGGAGAAAGGGGTGGCTATGGCACACAAGCTTTGGGAACGAACGCGGGTGGATATTGTACGAATCTAGGTATTTGTTGCAGGGCTGCAACTGGCCACCGAGTGAATATATGCCATGAAAGCTACGTGTATGAATGTGCTAAGCTGGGACATGCGTGGCCTTGTGGAAGCCTGTGGTTGAAGCGGGCTGACGTTGTGACGTTGGTGTTTGTGATTGAATGATGTTGTGCATGGGTTCCCAGCGCACATGATTCCGCGTCACTTTTGCGATGCGGCCACTAGTAGTGTGTGTCGGTGGACGTGCTCATTTTGACTATTTGGTAGGACTCAGCAACGTCACTAGTACAGGGCTGCCAGAGAGGCTCCTGGTGATTGGGAAACACGCATCCACCTTCACCACGAATGCCGTGCCCGTCAAAGTAAGCGTCGGTCGCATTCCATACTTACACTGGGATGCCAGTATCGCTTGCCATTTACGGTACTAACCAGGCCTGTTCCTTATGGTACTTGTTTGCGGCCTGGCCCGTCAACTGCTCTGCTTCAAGCGCACAGATATCGACAAGGTGCACGAGCTTCCCTGTGCCCGACCAACGCGCAACTCTCTGAATCCTCACAACTTCGACATCGACAACCCCCAGCTCACGGCCAAGGTCGTACCGGCCCCACTCATGCCACCCAAGCGCAAGACGACGGATGACGGCACAGCCACGGGTCATTCCGAGAAGAAGACGAGGGCTGTCAGGAAAGGCAAAACTGCTGCATCTGGCAACGATGAAGGTAAGCCAAAGACGCCTTTCCCCATGGCCTGGTTTCGTCCAAGAAAGAGTTGGTGGTGATGGTGGTGGTGGTGAGGGCAGAGGGCAGAGGTTGAGATGCAAAGTAGCCCTGTTGTTGCTGCGGCCCTAATTCCGAGGCATGACATGTGGCTTTGCGACCTGAGGGGCCAATGGTGGGCTGTCGGCGGGGTCGGACACTCGCTGCGTCACCAGCTTGCCCAAGATCCCGCCAGCCCTACCATACAACCCCGTTCTGTAATTTCGAGGCGCACCACCGGGACTCTATACGTCCTGGACCCTCGCCGTCTTGCCCTTTTCTACTCCTCTATCCCTAGACTCTGCACTAGACTCTGCCCCGCTCTTGTTGCCACTGCGAGCAGCCCGGCCACCACTGCCCATCTCAAGCCTGCAACCACCACCCAGCCGTCTTGCCTACCGCGCTAATCCAAGATGCCGGCAGTTTACAGCTCCCAGCAAAAGGCTGCCATTCAGCAATTCATGAACTTCACTCAGCTCGACCGTAACTCAGCGATAAGGGCGCTGAAGAGCTACGGGTGGGACGCCCAGAGCGCCGTAAACGCGTATGTATAACTCTCTTTTGCTTTTTCCACCACCCCATCCATGGTTATTGTGAACCCCCTATACGCATGGGCACAACATAGTACACATGCAGCTTCGACTGAAATGTGAAGCCGACCACCCTGCATTTGTCAGTTCAAAGCGGCAACAGACCCAAACAAAAGTGGCACAACCGCCAACGGGCGATTGCATCAAGGGCCCACGCATATGCCCAGAGAACATAGCCCTTTGTTCACACCAGAAGCCACAGAGAGCCAAATGCGGACCACTGAGTGCCGAGATACGACCAAGATTGCCATTCCTGGAAGCATGGCTGGAGTAGTCACAAACGACAACCCTTGGAAGGAATGGCACACAACAGTGCTCCTGCACCATGGACTGCTCTTTTCATGAAACCTGTGCCATTGCTGCTTCTCTCGGTTCAGACGCACAACGCCATTTCTTCCTTCCACATGTTCTCAGCCCACAACAAACCATTCAACAGGTTTTTTTCCCGCCTGTCTCCGCGCTGAACAATCGACCAAATACAAGGCATATACAACGACTGCAGCAATACAAAAGATTGCGAGACACTTTGGCCATAATTGTATTGAGCTGCCATAGTTCCAGCAATCGCCTCAGTCCACCATGTTTGGTTCCTCTCAGGACAGGGCCAGACAGCTTGCGGGACGTAACCGACGACAGCGTATCAGCTCAAGTGGCTCATGGTCGAGTTCACGCTCCACATCCTCCACACACGATGTCTCTGAGCTATGCAGTTCGACAACGATTCTGGATCCCGATGCCGAGTTACCACCCGTGAAGGAAGAACAGCCTTTCCAAGAAACCGCCCGTTCTTCCGTCGTTCTTTCAGATCCTAAGAAAAACGGAATTGGACAAGACAACAGACGCTTGACCTCACGATCTGCTTCCACACTGCCCACTAGGCCACACAATCTCCAACTGGAACAGCACCGGCTTCAAGCTGAACACCTCAGTCAGGTGCTATACAATGCGCTTAGCCTTCCAAAACTTGCCGCTACTCCACATGATCTGTTCCAATCATCTCACCACATCGAATACGGGAATCTGGGTATTCAAGCAGTCACGTCTTCCAACATACGCAACATTACGGCTCCCTGTCAGGCAACCTGTTTTCCGAGTTCGCCAGCCCTCGACTTGATGAAAGCGTTTGACTCTTCTGAAGCTCCCTTTCTTAGGACTTCTGCATCCGAATTTCGCCCGCGTCCACAACCGGTTGTTTCGTTGCAGGGTGGCTGTGGGAGAATGCAGGATCTCGATGACCAAGAAGCAGAATATGCACTTCAAAAGCATACGCTGAGAGTCCAAAATTATCAGGAAGTTGGCATCTATGCATCGATCTGGGACAAGGAAGTCAGCGGTTACCACCAGTTGGATCTTGCCGACAAAATCAGGTTGCTTCCACAACAGGCGTGGAACGAACCCATAACTGCGGGCCTTTCGTATGAAGAGTTTCTCGGTCTGTTGAACACTGAACAAACACGTCGCTTTGGCAAGCTATTTGGTCCCTTTCCGGGCAACAACTTCGCATGGGCAGCATACGCACGTGTGGCATTTCTCCACTCTCTGGACGATCAAATGAGGTGTGCATTTGTAAACGCCATCAAGGGGAGCATCTCCAACAATTGGAAGCCCGAAACTATAACAGCGACAAACAACAGCAGCAATCCACCTGTGCTGTTGTCGCTCCTCCTATCTGCTGCGGAAGAGTTCGTGCAGCTCATCCCTGCCCATCACTAACCAGTTCACGTGCAATTTCTAATGTCACAACTTTGTTCCAAATTGATAGACACTAACATGATAAAACAGTTACTACAGTGGTGGAAGCGCTCCCCAAGCTTCTCCTGCAGCCAAGTCTGCTCTCAACGCGCTATTTGACAAGTATCGAGAATCCGATGCCCAGGACAAGGATGTTGTTGGAGTCGAGGGTACCATGAAGTTCTTCGCGGACATCGGCGTCAACGCTGAAGACTTAGACGCGCTAGCTACGTTTGAAATCATCCAGGCGCCTACAATGGGTGAGATGAGCCGTGAAGGTTTCGTGAAGGGCTGGACAGAGCGCAAGTAAGTTGCATGGCAGCAATCTGCTCGACAGGTGCGATTCAGATTCTAACTCGAAGATAGCTGCGATACTGTTGAAAAACAGAGGATGTACATCCAGAGTGTAAAGGACGAGCTTCCCAAGAACAAAGAGCTCTTCACCCGGGTATACAAGTTCACATTTCCGCTTGCCAGGGCACAGGGCCAGAAAGCAGTCGCTCTCGACAGCGCAGTCGTGTTTTGGGAACTTTTATTTGGATCACCACTGTCAGCAGTGACGTGGTCGACCGAGAAGACACCGTGGCTAAGCTGGTGGACTGAGTTTGTCAACTCTCAATGGAAAAAGAGCGTCAACAAAGATATGTGGAACGAGACACTTAAGTTTGCACAGCTCACCCTTGAAGACGATTCGATGGGTTTCTGGAGTGAGGAGTCCTCTTGGCCCTCTGTCATTGACGAGTTTGTTGAGTGGGTCAAGAAGGAGAAGCGAGAGGATACTAAAGAGGAGGTTATGGATGAGGAGTACTGAAGCCTCTCTCACGTTGTTCACGTCGGTCCTTCGAATTGAGCTTCTCTTGGTCTGAGCAGCAGGGAGTTGGGGTAGACGATATGATATGGCTTGCTACGATGGGTGAGTGCAAGCTTGCATATCGGAAGGCGGCCTTATTCAAACATGACTACGACATTCACGGGAGCATAGCATACCCTTGGTCCGTCTTTGTAGCACTTTGGTGGAAGTAGAACATCCTTCAGTAGATAGATTCGCTCGATATGAGTAATTCACAGACATATTCTCAATGGGTACGTGGAGGTGAGCATGGCACAACGTGTGGATGATTGAGCTACATCTTGGCTGTCGTGAGATTGGCCAGGGTTTTGCAGGTGTGGGTCCAGAGAATATGGAGCATCCATCTTCAGCACTGCACGCATGCATTCATAAAGTCTGGTCAGTAGCAGATAGCGGACACACAGAAATGTAGCTGCGAAGATAATTGACATGCGGATGCTGCAATGAAACATTGAACCAGCAATACACGCATTTTTGATGAGGCTTGCTAAACGGACACGACTCAGAAAGTGTTGCGCCACTTTGGTGTGGCTGATGCAGCTCGCTTAGGTTTGCTTAGCGTCTTAGCAGAGCCAACAGTGCCGGGCTTGATTTTCGCTGCACCACGACAACGTCCAGTTTCTCACGACAAACTAACCACACAGCAGTCAAAGTGCGTATCCCATGACAATAGATTGCTGCGACTATACTGACTCTCTATAGATGGTCGCCGCTAAGAAGCACGTCCCGATCGTCAAGAAGCGTACGCCGGCACCTGCCTCGATGACCTCGAAATTTCGCGACTGACGTATCCATTTGTAGACACCAAGCGCTTCAACCGTCACCAGTCGGACCGCTTCAAGTGTAAGAGACATGTGGGAATTGGAAACGACGGAACAGGATCTGACAATGGGTAGGCGTTGACCCATCATGGCGCAAGCCCAAGGGTATCGACAACGCCGTCCGCAGGCGATTCAAGGGCCGAGCTGCTATGCCTAAGGTACGACTGCCTCAATCAACCGATTCGCAAAGGATTTTTTTCTATGGACGATGTTTTTGTTTTGGATCAAGCTGGGATATTTTGGAGGACAGGAGCTGACGGAAGGATTTACAGATCGGATACGGCTCCAACAAGAAGACCCGCCACATGATGCCCAGCGGCCACAAGGCTTTTGTTGTCAACAACGGTAGGCTACATGTCGATTGCCGCAGCAACTGTGGACAAAAGCTAACGACTTCAGTCGCCGATGTTGACCTTCTCCTCATGCACAACAGCACCTTCGCCGCAGAGTACGTTGGCCCGGCCACGCCATGCACGACGCGACCCGCTAACCAATTGTAGGATCGCCCACGCCGTATCAGCACGAAAGCGCATCGACATCATTGCCCGCGCGAAGCAACTCGGTGTCAAGGTCACTAACGGCAAGGCCCGCGTCAAGACCGAGTCGTAGATGTGTGTGGATTTACTTTAGGGCGGGGCATACAAGGCGTCTCTCTGATTAGTTACGATCTCAATGGGAAGGCTTTTCATCTTCTTTGGCTCACAGTACCCTTTGATACGGTACGAGGAGAAGCATGCACTTCAAAAAAGCATTGCGACATGCTACCGCGGCATGACCCAGGACATGAAAGGACAGAAGCCGTAGGAATGCAATGAAAAACGAGCCAAAACCACCAGGACGATTCTTCTCCTCGCAGTGATGTAGGACGCGTGATGTGGGTTTGGGTCGGACGGGCTGTTTGCGAGACATGTGGGCAGAAATCTAACAGCAGTTCAGCTACGCTTTGAGCATTCCCTTTGGCGCCCGCGCAGGAGACTGCATCGAACGAGGGTTGCTTTGGGAAATGGAGGGAAGAGATGTAGTACAGTCTACGCCAAGCTTGGAATGTGTACTGGCTACATGGCACTCCTTCACATGCTCAAGGTGAGGCGCCGATCATGTCGCGTGCGTTGTGATTACCCTGCATGATTGTTGCTTACTGTAGCCAGCCAGAGACTTATCGGACTCCGGGCTGATAACCATTGAGCAGGTCAGATATTCTTGGCCGCGCCCAAAAACACGAGGCGCATAAGACGCGTCGGTGCGGTACGGTATGGTGTTAATTATACTCCTTATCAGAACGACCATGTCTATTTATTCACACAGGCTGAAGTGGCACACCTACTTACTCTAGTATCCACACTTACCACCACTCGCCACCACTGCAACATTCGGACTATTCAGCTCACCCACCCTCACCGCCCCCCGGGTCGATGAGATGCGACAACCACTGTAGGCGTGTGGGTGTGTGTGTGTGTGCACATGCCTGCATGCATGCTGATAAGGCAGTTCTGGCGATAACAAAGCCATGACATGTGCGAGTCGTCGATGGGGGTTGGGTGTAGGGGTGGGCAACGCCAGAGCCGCAATGCCCCTGGGAGGGCTGGCTTGGCGGCGTCGCAGGACCGGAAGCGTGAGCTTCCAGAAGCAAAGGATAGTTTAACCTCGTGGGCTGGGGGAAGCAAGCTTTTGGCTTGCGACACTGGGCTGCTTCGGTCTTGTTTACAGGGTCTAGGTTGTTTGGTAGGGCTACAAGAGCTGGGGACGACGGACGGTATAGCATGAGGCTGGGGGGAAATTGAAGGGCGCTCAGAACGACATTCGCTCAGCTGTCGACGGCGGAAGGTTTGACGTGAAATGCTGGGGATGGCATTGCAGGCTTGTTATGTCAAAAAGACAGGCGCCGCGTGCTTCCTTGTTTCCTGGAGTCTCCTGGCGGGCGCTCGCTAACGGGGACGCGCCATGCGATTCCGCGCTCTACTAGTCGACGCCATGCTGACCCACTCTGTTCCTTTCTCATCCGCACACCTCAACCCAGCATGCACCACACCGCCATGAAGCCCATGAAGCAGCCATCTGTCTGTGCCTGCCCTGCCACCTTGCACAATTGCGCACACACTCTCTCCGGGCCCTGCCAGATTGCTGCGAGATGGTAATCGCGTAGGCTGGCCTGATGCATCCACGCCTGGCTGCGAGGCGCCCTGATTGGCGCGAAGGCCACCCTCCATTCGAACGCATGTGGCATGTTGTCAGGTAGGCACGCATGCGGATTCGGACATGAGCATGCAAACCACCGCGATCAGCACATCCGTGGTTTCATCCAGGAAACAATCGGACAACGTGTCGGACTGGGAGGACCTGATTGAGGCAGTGCTCGCGCTCATGACGAGGGACTCCCCCGTTGGTTTTTCCCCCCGTCGTCCGGTTGCAATGGTGCGCGACGTAACCAAAGGACAGCATGCTTAGATGCGCATATGATTTTCTGACTATTAGCTCCCCGGTCCATGGCCCGCACAGCTAGGTGTACCCACGGTAGGTCGAAGCGCAACCCAATTTCCTTCCGCGAGCCTGGGAAAGATTTTCCAGGCCAACACTATTTTAGTTCCCGTGCTTCAAATATCTCGTCACCCCAGAGCCTTTGTTTCGAGAATCCTCCTTTAACGCCCACGTGAATCAAGCTCGAAGGCTTTGCCTCGCTCTTCATAGCGACACAGTCGTGCATCGCACGCAGTGATTGGCAGTCTTCGGCTCGTCACACAAAGCCCAAAAATCTTCTGGTCGCAGCCACCCTTTGTCAACACCACTCATCACACTGCCTCCCTTCCGGCTCACCCGATTGCTGAACTATCCTGCCTGGCCATTTTACAATCAACGCCAACCTGCTCGACGCAAAACAAAAAAGACAAATTCTCCTCCACGAGGCCTTTTTTTTGCCTGCGAGCATTTGCCGACCCCGGATTCAAGACCCACCACTACTGCCGACTGTCCCCGGAGGACCACTTTACAGCAGTAAGCGGGACCCTCATTTGTTCTGTTTCGCCAAACACCACTGGAATGGCGCCCAACCTCTTTGTTGCTACTCAAAAGGCCTTTTTGCCACACAAATGGTTCAAGTCCAGCAAGGCCGACCTGTCCAGGGTTGTTGAAGAGTGGAACAGCCCAGTCCCTGGCCAGTATGAGAGCATTCCCGGTCGAGGCTGGTTCTTGATCGCGACCCTTAAGGATGCATCCAAGCCAGAGGGCAATAGCAAATCAACCATCAAGGGATCTGATGGAAAAGACTATATCCCCTTGGAGATGCCCATCCCACTCAAATATTCCCATGCACTCGGCCGCTACTTTCTGGAGCCAGAGTTCTATAAGCGGAAGAAGACGGTCATGATCAAAGACGACAAAGGCAAAGAAGTCCGCGCCGGTTTCTTTCGCATCGACGACGTAGCATGGGTCAAGTGCTGGGACGAACATGACACCTTCATCCCCGGCAACGCCAACGGCGCAGCCGGCTACCAACGCTGGGTCCTCGACGCCCAAACGCAGCAATTCCGCCATATGATCAAGCGCGACGACCCAAACTACGTGCGCTCCCGTAGAAACTCGCCCGCCCGCGATGCCGACAACCGCAGCCAAGAATCCGTCAGCACAGAGTTCCGCCCCAGTCGTCCCAGCAGCACCAAAAACGGCTTCAGCGTCGCTAGCACCCGGGCAAATAGCATCCGCTACCAGCAACCCTCGACCCCTACATCCAACGCCCCCAGCCAACGCCCTTCGCGCCAGAATAGCCCTAAACGCAGCAATAGCATTCCGCTAGAGGAGGCCAAAGCCGCCTTACGTCGCTTGGCCCGTGAACACGAAGAAGCGGCTGCTGCTGCCGCCCTGGCCCGATCCCGCATGAAGCGCACTGACTCTACCGATCGCGTTGAACAGATTGAACGCGGTCGTGTCTCGGAGCGTGTGTAAAGTAGGTGGTTGATCTTAAAAAGTGGGCTTCTTGGTAAAGGGCGAATTTGGTGTTCAAAAAAAGGGCGTTTTCCGATTATCTTCGGTATGGTATTTGTGGGGCCATTCGTTTTCTTGGGTTATTGCCAATTCGGCGGAATTGAAAAAAGGGGGGGTCCGTCCGAATGTGTGTGTGTGTATGTGTGTGTGTGGCGTACATGCTGATGGTTACGCACACATGATTTGATCCCGATTGTTTTCTTCGCCCGGATTTTGAATTTTTTTCTTCTTCTTCTTCTTCTTCTTCTCTTTGCGATAAACACGATGATATATGACTTTGTTTTCTTTTTTTTCTTTTAGTTTCTCCTGCACTTTTACCCAGTCTGGGGGGTTTTTTCCCCTTGGATTGGGGGAGGTTACAGTGAGTGCGCTTTGTAATCACTTTTCTTTCCATTGTTCTCCTTTCCATCCCACACACACTTCCTCTTCTTCTTCTTCTTTTTTTTAAGTGCGCACTTTCTACGACATACACATGAACATGTCGGTTTATGTCGGTTTCTGGAGCCTGAGTTAACCACCCCGCTCATACTGTTTTCTTTCTTTTTTTTCCTGTTCCCTTTCTATACACACACACTTAGACTTGTTATCTTCTTCATTCACTGCACACCTGCGTTTTTCACTAGCTCAGGCGCGTCTTTTTTTTTATTCGACAGCTTTGCTTTCCCTTTCATTTGCGTCAGCGAGAAGGAGAGAGAAAAAAGTAGAGTATTATACCCTTCCCCTTTCCCCCCCTTCCCTTTTTTTGCAGCAAAGCACATGGTAGATTCGCTTCGGTAGTTGGTTTAAGCTGGGAGTTTTTGGTTTTTTTTGGTTTTTGGGATGGAGTACCAGTGTGCGGCGAGGGTGGGGGTTAGATAGATGTATTGATATTTCTTTCCTCTCTCTCTATCTATGTGTTTCTTTCTCTCTGTGTGTGTGCCTCTCTATCTCCTTACAATTTCAGATATCCAGGTTACCGTATGTAATGTGCTTAGTACTAGATCACAGATGCGATTGCGTGAGCATCATATACTTCTTTGAAACTTTTATTCCATGTATGTGACCTTAGCTCTCTCTCTCTCTCTCTTCGCACGCTGACAAGCGTCGTCAGTCACGACTTTTAACGATATCACTGGGATGTTTTTTTTTCATTTTTCCTAGACACATACACACACACACACACAAAGCCTAAAACTCTTCTTCTTCTTTTTACCGTCTGGACCGGTTTTACTTACAGTCAGCGGGGGGGGGGGGGTAAACTTGTAATTTTTTTTCCGTTTCCTTTATACCGCAACCTGAGTATTGGATAATTTTTTTTAAAAAAAAAAAAGTTTTGAAGTAATTTAGTCTCTCGCACCTTGAGGTTCAGCGGCAAAAGTAATGTAAAATTTAAATACTGTGTGATCAACCCTTGAATAGAATAATAATAATCATAATGATAATAATGATTACATTCATGTGCGAGAAGGAAAAAAATAAGATAAAATAAATAAAAATTTCAATCTTTCTTTATCATAATCTCACACTCACTCATGACATCAACAAGTCCAAAAGAAGGATTTTTTTGAAACAAAAATATGATATAGTCATTTACGAAACAAAGGTCTAATCCCGAAAAAGAAGAAATAGTCTAAATCCGCACGTTTTATACCAAATGAATGTTCCCTTTTTCTCTACTTCTCCAAACCACCGTCTAATAAATCTTCCCCCCTAAGCATCCCTACCCCCTCCCTCTCTTCAAGGTCAAACCCCTTCATTCAAGACATTAAACAAGACGAAATCCAACAAAGCTAGATTTACTCGTCATCGTTGTCCTGGTTGTTGTTGTTATCGTCGTCGCCTGACTCCTCGCTCATTCCACCCTTGCACTCACAGGCCCACTTCCTGCATGGCATGTTAGTAAGTGTTCAAAAAAAGGGAGAGTGAGAAAGGGGGACTGGAACATACTTGGTCTTCGTGTTCTTCTCGCAAGTACCTTCAGCCTGGGCAAGACTGCAAAGCTTCTCGCAATTAGCGTTGCCGCTTGTCTCAGAGCAAAAGTTGACTGTACTAGTACCCACAGGCGTGTTAGTATTCTTCTCTCAGAGAAAATAGACAAATTCGATTGGAAAGGAGGAGATGAAGAAGAGAAATGAGGAAAAGAAAAAAGGCACACTCACAGTTGGTCAACCTGGCGCTTCTTTTGAGAGTCACTCTCGTCATCGTCATCCTCTGACTGGCCCTCTTGAGTGCTGTTATCTTGAGCGGAGTCCTCTTGCTTGGGCTCCTCCTTCTTGGGTTCCTCTTTCTTGGGCGCAATAATGCCGTTGAGACCTTCAAGCTGGCGCTTGTCGTTCAAAATCTTGTAGTCGAAGCCGTTGCCATGCTTGCCGCCCTTGGAAGACTCACGAGTCTGGCGCTTGTCGAAGATCTTGTAGTCGAAACCGTGCTCGCCACCCTTTCCCTTGTGCTCGCCGCCCTCGTGCTCGCCACCCTCAGAGGATTCTTGAGCCTGGCGCTTGTCTTCGAGGATCTTATACTTGAAGCCGTGGTCGTTGCCCTTGCCCTTGTGCTCACCGCCCTCGGAGGATTCCTGAGCCTGGCGTTTGTCTTCGAGAATCTTGTACTTGAAGCCGTGGTCACCCTTGTGGCCGCCCTCGTGGCCGTTGGAAGACTCCTCAGCTTGACGCTTGTACTGGGAACCTATTTCTTGTCAGCCTTCATACCCAGACCTGGAGGATGTAGTAACTCTTACCGTGATCTTGGGACTCACCGCCCTGCTGAGCGGCCTCGCCATTAGAAGGAGTTTGGCTACCGCCAGAGGGAGTCTGAGCACCCTCGTGGGTCTCGCCTCCCTCCTGAGGGGCCTCTCCACCCTCATGGGTAGCCTCGCCTCCAGAAGGAGTCTCACCGCCCTGAGGAGCCTCGCCGCCCTGAGGAGCCTCACCACCGGCGTTAGACTCGCCGCCTGCACCTCCCTCCTGAGGCTCTCCACCTTCCTGGGATTCATCGCCCTCACCGGATTCGCCGCCCTGGGGTGACTTTTCGTCGTCATCGTCATCATCGTCACCCTCGTTGTTTTCCTTGGGCTTCTCCTCCTCCTTATCGTCCTCCTTCTTCTTACTATCCTCCTTCTTACCGTCTTCCTTCTTACCGTCCTCCTTCTTCTTGTCATCCTCCTTCTTCTCCTCTTTCTTGTCGTCCTTTGACTTCTCCTTCTGCAGTGCGCCCCTGCCGTAGCCGAGAATGCCGTCGAACAAGTCGTCCGTCTGGCGGACCCTTAGGGGACCGCCGGGCTTGTCGGCCGAGAACTCGAGAGAAGGCAGACCAGAAGCAGTAGGCACCTTGGCAACGCCGGATGGAGCAACAGATTTGTTCAGGCTGTCTAGCTTGGGCGCGCCGCTTGGGAGGGGCAGCCTGGCCGACGAGGACGTAGCCGGGGCTTTGGCCGGGGCGGCGCTGCCCATGAGGGCAAAGGACGAGACCGTAACGATGGTTGTGAAACGCATCTTGAACGGAAAGCGGTCGATTAAGTCGAGAAAGGAAAGATTATTAGATTATAAGAAACTTGGGTTGTATTAAGAGAGTGTGTGATTTGTAAATGAATGTTGATGAAATGATTGTCGATGGTAGGTGAGGAATTTGAATCAGAAGACGAGGTGGCTTCATATACTCACTTCTCTCATCACCCTCTTTCTTTTCTTTTATGGAAACTCGTGCATTGGTGCTTCAGTGTTGCTCATGCTTTGTTGTATGTTAGAAGCCCCGTTCACACCGGACTCTGTTTCTGCAGGCACGTCGATCGTTGAGTGCATGGCTCGATAGGGTCTAGCAAGTGCACATGCGCACACACACACCTGCACACATTAGCTAGCTCATGTGCTGCATTAGACGGAGGTTGTCGCCGTAGGTGTGGTTTGAAAAGGTATGGTTGAGCTGGTGAGATTTCCATCCAGTTGGATTCCACTTTACGTGAAATTCCTTATACTACAGCTGGAGAATTTTGATAGGCACTGCCATACGTAACATCAAACACCAAAGCCTCTGGAGAAAGAACATAAGATCCCAGTCTGAAAATAGAGACCTGGGCCGATCTTCCCAACTCGCTAATGCGTCCAAGGGGCTATGATACGCGTCAAATTCTGCCTCTCGAGTGTGTTGTAAAAACAACCTTGGAAGACCGGTAGGTCATGGCGTCTGTAGTGACGGAATGATTCAATAGAGGGATGCGTAATCAGCGATATTGAGACAAAGAAGAAGGAATGAAAAACAGGAGAGGCCAGATTCTCATGTTGAGAAGAACAGAGAAACAGAAATGAGGGCTTCATTTGCAGTGATTTCCGCATCGTTGGGACACCTGCACTGTCATGCTCTCGATTCTGCCGGACGTAGAATATTCCCCAAAATCTTCTGCAAACGTCGAACATGCCATCTATCGGCGAAACGACCAGGCTAATAGTAGCAACGCATGCGCTTAGAATGTGGATATGGTGGGCTTCCCCGCTAACAATGGTTCATGAAGCGGTCAGTGTCTAGGGTTTGCCGCGGCCACGCGCGCATGGAAGTCGTTGCATGTGGTTGGAAAAGCAACCTGACTTGTACGGTAGCGAATAGAGTGTTGAGGTGCCCAGAATAGACATACACCGGATGGTGCGCATGGAAGAAAAGGCAATCATCAGGGGTGTCGCTCGCTCGCTAGCCAGGAAGATCGTCACAACTCTGCAACAGAAAGTGTTTTTAGTTCTAGTGCGGTACAGAAAGATTAGAAGAGAAGAAGGAGAGAAGGCAAATAAGCTTGGTTTCTCACAGAATGCTGTTACTGCAGTGTCTTGCTTACTACATAGAACTTGAGCTACCCAGGTATGCGGGATTTGCGCGTAGTTTCGACCAGGTCTGGATACGGAGAACTGAAACTGAACTGACAGCTGCACCCCCGTTGCGTGAGCTGACTGACCGCTGCAACGAGCTCGGACTGTTGAGTTGTTCGTGCAATATGACAAGCGTGAATTCAAGGCGGCTGGTTTGGACTGTTTCCAGATGAAAAAAGAAAAGGCTGACAGGGAGCCGGTCGCTGTGTAGGCATGGTTTCCAGCATGTAGTTGAAGCATTAAGCAGGGCGATGGTTGAGAGATTGACGTGCATTGCGGGGTAAGTAGAAGTCATGTAGTGTACCGGACGAGGAAGGCACGGCGACCGGGCCGCTGGATAGCTTTGTTTCCGCGGAAGAGGCCGTTGGTAACCAAATCGTCGCCTTGGTCTCAGGTTGCTTTTCCTGCGTTTTGACCGCGAGAGTACCTCCGCTTTGATTTTGTCACTCGCCAGGAGGGAGTGGTGGGCTACCGATGCATCTACTTCTACTCGCCGATGTGGGTCAACCGGTGTTGGGAATGCACCTAGAAGGCGTCTAGAAGGTTTGTTGCACCTGAGGGTGGTGTCTATGGGCCGTCATGGGGAAAAAGAAAGATGCTTGTCCCAAAGCCTCGAGGGCCGATACATCATAACTCAACGGAAACGAGCTAGGTTCGAAATGTTCCTCGATTTGTCCTCGATCAACTGGCGGTCAATCCAGCTTGGAAATCTGCGCTTCCCTGGATCATAGTCGTTCATGCGTGGTGTTGGCAAAATTATGTCGGTGCTTGGATTCTTCGACCCTTTTAGCCCTGACCCTCGCAGATGACCCTTCCGCGCCCAACCCTCTTCCTGTCTGCCCTGTCTTTGCATTCATGTTCTATGCTGCCCTTTGTGCAACAGTAGTGCTCGCCATCCAGTCGACGAAGGCGTTAACATCGATCAAGAAAGATTACGAAGAGTAGACGCCAATATCCACGTTTGGCCTAAAACAACCCAATCATCAGGAAAGTCGAATTTCAGGCTCAACAAAGATTTCTCTATGCTTGGTATGTGCAGAACAACTCGTATTCGTACAACGGATCCGAAAAAACTTCCCAACTTTCACAGTCCTCGTGTACTGGCTGATACTGCAAGTAGTCTATGCAATGTAGGCATACAACCCATCGTCTTCTCTCTCCAAGAACTCCTTCTCAATCAACCGATCAATGTTCCTCTTGATACCACTAACCTCTAGAGTACCCCTGTTTCTTGTAGCCTTGATAGTCTCACTGACTAGCTCGGCGTGACTGATCCTCTTTCTTGCCTTCAAAATGCGCACAATGGCGGCTTGCGTCTCATAGTTTCGGTCCGCAGCAACTCGTTCGTGTGTTTCCTTGTTTTCAGCCGCCGTTTCCTTGAGCTGAACAGTGTTGACTTTGATGCGGTACTTGGGATCTGTGAAAGAAGCGTTGATAGTAAACGTATCAGTCTCACTAATCTCCCGGCCCTTTGGATGCTTCGTTAGAGGCCGCACTTTGGCACAGGCGAGAGACTGTAATGTACGATTAAGCTCAGCAGGGGCTGTTGATCGTTAGTTGTGCTAGCAAAACAGCTTGCTGTATGACTCACGTAGTCCTGTGGCTTGCTTGAGATATTCATAATCAATGTGCTCGTCATCTCGTCGGCCATTGAACAGCAAGAGTACAATGGCCTGGAATGACGAGACTACCAGTTCCTTGAGGCCTTTTGGGAATCTGGCCTTGATTTGACAATGCGCCAGTGCGTGCTTGAACTCAAGCTTGCGGCCAGTGTGTTTGATCTTGTAGTGTGCTTCAAATTTGTTCATAGCAGATTGGACCTCTGGCGGTAGGATGACGGGAACAGTGGGGTAAGTAGGCCAGGCGGATGCAGAAAGGATGTTGACGTTCAGATCAAGATCAAGTTTTTCGTTGCGTTCCTCGCTAACATTCTTGTATGAGCTCATTTCTTCGCGGGACAGTTCGATGTCTCGGAACATTTGTTCAAGGTTGGCAGTGAAACCAGCACCACATTCTATAGTGCGTTAGTATCCAGGTCAAACGAAAGCTGCTGTCGCGGAAAACTCACCAATCTTGAGTCTTGATAACATGCTTCTCTCAGCATCCGCGCTAGCGCTTCTGCCCATCAACAATCGTCGTGCTAGATCTTTCTTGTAAAAGGCCTCAAAAACAGCCTTGCCATGTAAGAAGCGGAACAGATCGAGAACCTGGTCAAGTTGGTTGTTGACTTCGGTATCTTCATCAAACACATCATCTTCCTTGTCATCCTCAACCTCAACTTCAGCAGGCTTCTCTGACTTCCGACTCAGCTGTGTTGGTATCGCCTTGGCGCCTCCTCTCAACAACATGTCGACGTACTTGGCAATCATCTCGCCCGTCTTGGAGTTGTCTGTGCCCCAGCTTGCGTTCGTCTTCTTTGTCTTGTTCATGAACTTATCAAAAGCCTCGCGCAGCCCGTGGCCCAGCTCTTCGTCTCGATGGAACGATGTTTTCCAAATAGCATCTAATTGACGCTTCAGTGAAAGCAGGTGTACAACCATGTTGTCTTGTTCCTTTTCATTGAAGACGATAGCTGTACCCTCGTCTTCTATCCACTTTGTAAAACCAGACCGTAGACGTGCGCCCATTTTTCGTCGTTCGAGAAGTGTGTATAGCATCTCAAGATCTTGGACAGCATTAGCTTCCAGGAGGTCAGCAAGCTCGTCCTGATTCGTCAATCTCGACTCCTTCTTCGCGATTAAATGATCTTCCAGCAGCGTAAGAAGCTCTCTCTTGGTCGTGTTTGGAAGGCTAAACATCTCTACCCTCTTCATTTCACGGTCCATGAGTGCCCTTGAATTGCGCACATACTCGGGCAGGGACCTCTCTGCACTCTCCGTGTCTGCCCATTTCACTATGTATTCCTGGCTGACCTCCATCAAGCGCGGTTCAAAGTGCCGCGTGTAGACTTGCATGTCGTGGAACATATTGACTGTCTTAGAGAACATTTCGCTGTCCAGATCACCACCCGTCCGATCAGTTGCTACCAGATCGCAGGCACCATCAACGATGCGAGGGCTTAGTTTGTCGTTTTCAAAGATGATTGAGCGGAAAAGGCTAATACAGATTTCGCGGAGAGATTCGTGACGTGGGAGGAGGTAGGCTCGGTCGAGGTAGCAGAAGATCCAATCTAGGTATTTCTGCAGTCTGTCAGTTTAGCGGTATGGATTTTTGTGTGCCCGGCTTACCATCTGGCTGTTCCATAGTGCCCAAGCATATAGTGTCGTTCGCAGTACATCAACACTAGTCTTACCCAGGCTGTCTTTTACCTTTGCCCCTAAACTGCCTCGCACGTAATCTCGGCACTTGGTGGTTAGACGTTCTTTGATGTCCCTTGCCATGTCCTGCCGACAGACATTTTCTACGCCGCGGTACAGCTCCTCCAGACTAAAGTCAATGTCACCTTGGTCAAAGATGGTGTCCAGGGCCTTTTCGACCTTCTGCCATGTCTGGTCCAGAAAAGCACGGGGGTCCACCTTTCTAATCGGCTTGAAATTCTTCACCACCAGTCGCTTGGGGCCGCTATTGCCATGTAAGTTGGGTGCTGCCTTGCGCGTTCCATTGCGTTGGCCGCTCATCTTCGCAGGGCTGTTCTCAGGGCTCGAGGTGACATGGACGACATTTGCATTACTAGGTATGCCTGTCTTCTTGCTGGGAAAGCTGTACATATCGGCTGTGTCCATGCTGCTTATCAAAGAGGGCGGAGTGGCAACCTCTGTGCTCTCTATAGGCGAGCTGTCTCGTCGTGTGCGCTTGCTTGTGGGCGATAACGGAGCTGCCGAGGCAAGGTTTGGCTTGGAGTGGGTGGTGAAGAGCTCCTTGATGGTCTTGCCCGAGTGCTTCCGTTTCAGCGCGCTTGAATTGGCTGACATTGGGCGGGCGTGATGAGAGTGAAGGTTGCGGAGCTGTAGCCGCACCTGCGTCCGAAGCGCTTCCGTAAGTGACGTATCGATAACAAACGGTACTTCCGGTACACTGACTACACTGCTTATGCACACGGCTGCAGGCTTACAACTGCATATTGAAATGTAGTACGAATCATTTGATAGACAAGGCTGTAAATATACACTCAACCGACGGTACTGTGATCTCTCCAAAGGATGATGGACTATGGAAACCCGCAAGCATGTCCTGTTGTCCGGCCATGTCTTTGCAGGAGGATACACAGTCCGTAACCCCGGACAACAATCAAACTTGGTGCAAGGCGGTGGTTTGCTCGAGAGAAACGAAAGCAGCCATGACGCCTTGATGGCATGTGTAAAGAAAGAATACAACAATCAGCCAAAGGCGTCTACACAGCGTGCAAGCGAATAGCAGTCAACGCCGGTGCAGCGTCATGCACGTGCGCTGAACCTGGGACTAAAAGTGCTCGGACTATACAACGCGTCTCCCATTGCTGTCCCCGCCTCCACCCCATCGACAGCAATTGTCGCGCCATATTCCTCGACTGCAACGCCACTTTTCCTCGCACCATATACCCACGCGCGCGACCACCATGAGCGCGCCGGCATCGCCCTCAGGGGTCGACCAGGTCGAATCTACTGCCACGCGGCGCAAGTCTGGACGCGTATCCAGAAAACCAGACAGGTTCGCGCCAGGCGCGAGCCCAACAACCACCACCAAGCGGAAGCGCGGCAACGACAATGACAGTGCAGTAGACGCGAGCGACTCTTCTGAACAAGAGTCGGACCAGAGCACTGAGGACGAGCCGGATGATGAGGAAATCAAGGAGCGCAGGCGCAAGAGGAAGACCAAAGCTGCTGCCCGTAAGCCAGCAGCTAAGAAGCCAAAGACCAATGGCGACAGCCTCAGCCTGGCCATCCGTCCCGCCAGCAACGCGACAAAGAAGCTTACCAAACGACCCCGAAAAGCGCCTGTACGCAAGAGCACCCTGCCAGAAGAGACCGAAGGCCTATACGGTATGTTTGCAGGCGCGGCCTGGAGCCTGCACAAGCTAACGCGCCATAGCCGACGTGTTCGCTAGCGGAGACCGGCTCGAAGACGTGACCGCTCAGTGGATAGCCCGATTCAATGAACATGAGGCCAAAGCCGTGGCCGAAATCGTGAATCTAGTCTTCCAAGCTTCAGGTTGCGATTTGAGGATAAACGAGGATGACATAGGCGATCCTGATAACGCGCCCAATCGCGTAGCCGAGATTCAAGAGGAATTCCAGCAGGTGGGTCCAGACGGCCTCATGCAG